TTCAAACTCAGTGCAGTCTCTTTTGAACAAGTGAATTATAGGAATATCACTGTTTGCCATACTTCTCTAGACTTTTCTAGAATTTGGGTCAATGAGTGATTTTAAAATTTTTGCTTTGGAATTTTTATTAGTGCATGCTTTCAGTACATCGTTATTACACGTGTGGAATTGGTTCATGTCCCTAACACATTTTAATTATTTTTTCCATCCCCTTCTCTTCCCCTCCTTCCATCTCTTGATCACCTTTCCTTTTGAAAGAGATTTATCTCCTTGTTTCCCATTATCTTTTATTTTGCTTTTTAATTTATTTATGCTTTATGTTTCTCCTATAAAAGAAACCATGCAATATTTAAGCTTTTAAAAATGTGGTATTAATACACAATGGATTACTACTCTGCCATAAAGAAGGTAAAATTTGAGTCATTTGTAGGAAAATGGATGCACTTTGATACTATAATGTTAAGTGAAATAAATCAGTGGGTGAGTTTGGATGTTCCAAGAAAACAAGTAAGAATCTGGGGCCGGGAATTTAGCTCAGTGGTTGCACCACCTACTGTGCAAGCACAAGGACCCAAGTTCGATCCCTGGTACCAAAAAAAAAAAAGAAAACAAGTAAGAATCTAGTTAGATTTTACAACTGACAGTGGCTTAAATCTTCAATCAAAGAACAGAAAAGAATCTTATTTTACTTTGTTGCTCTTTACAGATAGGTTTTCCTATCCTACTTGTCAATGTCTCCATTGAAATGTATGGCTACATCTTTTATGTGGCTTGTGGTTTCAAATGAGTCATCACTCACTGACAGTTATGAGCAGTGCATTCATGAGAAAATGTTATTATCACTGTAGTCACCTTCATGGGATTGAAATGTACAACCTCGTGGAACTGCAACCAGCTGGCTGACAAATAAATATACTTTGGGTTCTGTATTTTTCAAGAAAGGTTAAATGCCCATTTATTTTTTTAAAAATCTAGATTTGATTAGTTAGCTTGCAGACAAGGCATGACACACAGCAGAGTGTGAACTTTAGAAAGATCAGAATGATGTTCAAATAGAGTGAGATGACAAATGATGTAATGATTTGACCATGTGAAAACCAGGTCAGACCTGATTGTTTCTGCCAGCCTACGCAGTCACTGGAGCCCCTTACATATGCTTTCAGTACGTCCTGCTGTGACAACCTTTAAATCAAGGACTTTGTCCCATGCAATGTGCTTTTTCTTGGTCAAATGCAAGGTACATATTTTAGCTAGCTACTCCTTTCTAGCAGTTTAAAATGATGAATAATATCTAGGACATATACATCCAGAAGCAAGCAATTTAAAACAATGCATTTGAGCTGCTAATCTTCTGCTTTTAACATCCTTGATTTGTAAAGGCTCTGTGAGCAGGAGAGTGGCATATGATACTTTGCCGAAGTGACACTTGATTTCAGTTCTAATTCCTCCATTATTGCTTTAAAATGAAAAAGAGCCTCATGAGTGTTCCATAAAATGACGCTAGGAATTACATTTAATACATCTGCCATGGAACTGATAATAAAATAAATTCAACTATGTGTTCACTGAGTGGACAGCCTGCCTCCCAAAAGAAAGAAGAAGCACAAGCTTTGAGTTCTCTTGAAGCTGTGTACATGTTTCCTCCAGACAACTCTTTACTGAAGCTTGAAGATTTAGAATTTCCAAAGTTTGACTGACAAAGCTAAGTGCCCCATGCCCCCATATTGATGTCATTCATCTCTAATATTAGCAGCAAAGCATTTCAGATTCACCTAGGAAAGAGGAGCTTTTATTCTTGAGTTGAACAGGAGCAGATACTAAAAATGAACATGGTGATACTTCCTTCTGGAATATCTGACACAGATAAAATAGGTAAACCTGTGCAGTGAAACTATTTTGAATCAAATGGGAAAGGAATTCAATTCAATGGGAAATCTGACATGCTTATAGAATTTTTAGTATAGCTTTCCTCCTGTGAACACTGAGGAATTAAGAAATAAAATAAAATTATATAAAGTTGTTTTGTTGCACAATGCCGTACAAGATCAGGAGGCACTTGTGAAAATTACATATGGCTGAGATGAAGGTTTTATCAGTGTGACTGGTAAAGTTGGTCATTCACTATCCAGCAGAGCTTAAGTGGATCAGGGTAGCTGGACAATTGCCACGTCGGTATTTAGTATTGCTCAGACACAGATAGAACCAGGAATGGTTCATAGCAGGTATGCTATCTGCAATAACAGAAATGGGGTTGAGATTCCATGGCCTGAGCTACAGGCAGCTCAGCCTACCTTGTCTGCCTGCAAAGTGGTGACAGTGTCATGGCTCTAGAGTGCCCCTCGGGATGCAAATCTGACAAAGAGACTTACGGCAGGACAAAGTAAGGGCAACTTACTGAAACCCAGATATCTCTTGTGCAGCAAAAATGTCTCTCACTTTTTAAATTACCACATGAATTTGGTAACCATTCTCTTTAGAGAAGGAAGATATTTAAAGAATAATAGAAATTAAAGAGTTAGAGGAAATTATAAACACCAAGGCTCAAGATGGGTTCTATCATCACTGTATCAATATTTGTTCGGAATTGAACTTTCCTCACATTTAAAAATTTTTTCAAGCTTGTGTTCCATAGAAGCTGCCCCGTGTGTTTAAAGAACAGTGGCAAGAAAATGAGCCACATTTAGTTCTTGCTACTTTGCAATTTGCTTTTGCTGACAGTTCTCCAGTTCAGTCTTCTAAACCTGTAGCCAAGTGATCATTATCTTCTTAAGTCGCTGTCATAAGGAAAATAGGGCAGGTCTCCCCACCACGGGAGCTGAGCTATTGCTCAGTAAGAACTCAGTGACATAGCTCGCTTTTTTTGAGTTTGTTAGAAAAAATTGGGGACTCTATAGCCTTAGGCTTAGAACCATTTTGCTCTGCATGGTTTTCTGCTCCAAGTCGCTCCTCCCTGTTGTTCTTAGAATCACTAAAAGATACTAAAATTACGTTAAAACTTGTATCTAGATCTTTTTCCCCACAACAACACAAAGTTGTACAAATACAAGCCTGAGGTAACCTCCCGTCTCCTCTGCCATGCTCCCCAAAATCCTCACAGTAGGGCAACCCCACCACACTGTGAAGACATGTTTGTTTTACTGTGGCCCCTAGGCTCCAGGCTTCTTGAGGTAGAGCTATGTCTCTTCCCTCTCTTTATCCTAACAATCATGCACATTGCCTGGTGACCTCTCTTCACGTATTTACTGATTCATTAATGTGGACTATTTCTACCTGGAAGAAATTATTTGCTTTTAAATTTTTGTTTTATTTTGCATTTAGTATTTTTTATACTCGCCATTACACAGCTTTTGCTCTAGGTTCCTCTTTTGAAACCAGTAGACATTTAGAAGACAATGAAAGGCTTTTTGGTTGAGCATCCTATAGATTTCTGAGAAACTACTTAAAGATCAATGTCTTGTGAACATTATTTTCATGGAGACTTTCAGTTCTTTTTCTCCTACTTAAGTAGGAGATTTTTTCACATGTATCTTTATGAACTAGTTTTCTTCCATCTGGAAATATCTAATTAATGGGAAATTTAGCACTATATCTGTTAGATGGTCAGAAGGGTCAGGAAGCATCAAGTCATTACTCCTTGTATTTGTTACTATGCCACACATTAGCACACATTGTCATATGCTGTCCCCAAAATAATGATGCTAGATGAATGGCACCAGAATCATCATTCTGTCTTACTATTAAGAAATTGAACCCCAGGAAAAAGGAGTCATTTCTCTCAAGGTCACTCAACTGGTTATGACAAAAGACCCCCCAGGTCTTCTAACTCTTTGCATTGGGATATAGATCTTAACTATGCTATGAAACTACATGTGTTACTTAGGTGGCATTTGATAGATAACAATAATAAGTAGGAGAAAGAACTATGATAAAAAAAAAATAAGAGAGCACCAGTTGCTAACTGTAAAGAACCAAAGATGACAAATGGAGGAGAACCTGGAGAAGTGAGCTGAGCTGCTAGCTGGGAAGTCTGAGATAGAAGAAGGGAGGGAAATTTTATCCTTATGAGAGCATCTGCCCAGAGAATAAGGGATGTACTTTCCTCCACTGTTATAATTATTTCAGCTTTGCCTTCTCAGTATGGACCTCTATACTAATTCTATGATGTATCTTCTCCCTGAGAATTTGTTTTTTTCTGGGATAGACAGAAAAATAGGTTGAATCTAGATTTCCACAAAGACTAATAGGCAAATAATATTAGCATTCGTAGCTCTATTTATACAGCAAAAGTATATTAATTTTCCTTGATGAACTTTTGGGGATTAAAAAATGTAGAAGAAAAGAAAAAATTATTTTTAAAAAGATGATCAAAACCTTCCTGTGGTAATTTTACCTAATCTTTTTTTTTTTTTTTTTTTGGTACCAGGGATCGAACTCAGGTCCTTGCACTTGCACAGCAGGCAGCGAAACCACTGAGCTAAATCCCCGGCTCTATTTTACCTAATCTTATATTTAAAAACAGAATATAATTAAGATAACCTAAAAATCGCTTTGTTTGTTTTTTTCTCTTCTGTTGGAAATAATATTGTTTTAGAAGTCAGTTTGTTAGTCAATAGGCCAACCAACATTAATTAAGTTCCTATTGTGTGACAGGCTTTGTGATGAATAATGAATGGCCGGTTGGTGAATAAGGTAAAGTTCCTTGACCTGGGCGAACTTGCATTTTAGGAGAGAAAAAGGCAGTGAATGTATAAACAAATTAATAAAGAGATAATTTGGGCCTGAAAAGACACATTTTGTATGAGCCGTTTTGATTCTGTGCAGACCCTTAGCAGATTTGGGGCTTCTCGATAATGAAATGATGAGGAAAGAGAAATACTTCCTACCACAAATGACTCTGCCACTACCACTACTCTTGTCAGGAAAGATGTAATGTTCATGCTTAAATGTGTGTAGTTTCACCTCAGAAGCAATGACCATTTGTTACTTTATTTTTATTCTAGGAATCTTGGAAAATCAGGACTCAGAGTTTCATGCTTGGGTCTTGGTAAGTACTTGGGGTGTCATATAGGGGTGGGTGAGAAGGTGGGAGTCTGAGGAGGCACGAGGCAGTGACTGAGGCACAGGTCTGGTCCGGTCCCAAGTGAGGCATCACCTCACTTCTTCTCCTGAGCCTTTCCCTGTGAGACAACTCCCTCCCTCCCTCTCTCTCTTCCTTTCTCTCTCTCTCTCTCTCTCTCTCTCTCTCTCTCTCTCTCTCTCTCTCTGCCAAGAAGCCACTATGTTGATGGTGCCTCGTGGAGGTGCATCAAGCAGTTTTGGAAGAGGTGGCTCATGGCACACATGAAAGCCCTCATGATATGAGCTCACACGCTCACCTCACCTCTTCCTCATTTCACTTGGATATTTTCTATCTATCCTTATTTTCCTTTCACCTAATTTCCTCACTTGTTTTCCTATTTTGTTATGTATTTTTATAACCTGCCTTAAATACTAGGGGAGGACAAGGTGAAACACATATACAGGTGTATATATACATCAAAAACTAAAGATTTTTACTCCTCAGGATGTAGCTCAGTGATAGAGCACTTACCTAACATGTACCAGGTCCTGAGTTTGATCTGCAGAACTTACAAACATTGTTATTCCTCTTGGGGAAGGTAAATATTTAAGGAGGACTAAGTAGAGATGGAAATTCTAACAGTATATGGTTGATTCTGAAATGGTGAAATCTGAGTATAAGAGCTGGGCAGACATCCTCCAGATGTGAGCAAAGGCTGCCTGAGCATTTGGGCCATTCGACACCATCAGAGCTATGCCCATAGTCCAAGAAAGTCTGTAGCAGAGTGATAGCTGGGGAAGTAGTGAGAAGTGGTCAGGTTATACCTATGTAGGGAGAGCCTGAATTTTTTTTTTGTTGGATTCAATGTAGGAGGTGGGGGAAAGGAGAGAACTCAATGCTGACTGAGATTTTTGTCCTGAGCAAGTGAAAGGATGAAATTACTAGCAAATAAGACATGGAAGAATGAGGAAAGAGAGACTTAGGTAGGAAAGAGACTAGGAGATTGATTTTAGACACAATAACTTTCAGGTATTAGACACACAAGAACAGTTGTCAAGTAAGTAAAAGGACAAATAAATATACAATTTAGAAGAGGGATATAGGCTGGGAGATAAAATTTGGCAGTCATTAACTTGTAGATGCTATTTAAGACATGATACACACTAAGATGAGAACTTGAAGGGAATGATTAGAAGTAGTATAGAAAACTGAGGCCCCAGTCCAAGACCTAAGATTTCTAACACTAAAAATTGGGAAAATGAGGAAGAAACAGTAAAGAAAACTGAAACTAACCAGTCAGTGTGGGGCTAAGAGAATCTGGAAAAAGAGTCCTGGAATCCAAGTAAAGAAAACATTTCAAGGAGGACAGAGTAACCAGGCCTGGCAAGTGCTGCTCATAAATCAAGCAAGATGAAGGCTGTCATGGTTTATATCCAGATGTCCCCCAAGAGCCTTATGGACTCATAGGCAGGGCTTTGGGAAGGTGATTGAATTATGGAGGCACTATAGCTAAATGTGACATTATGAGATGGGGCATGGTTGGAGGTGGGTTCCTGGGGGCATGACCTGGAAGGGTACAGCTCCCACCCCAGCACCTCTCTTCACTCTCTGCTTCCTGGCCACCATGATGTAAGCAGCTTAGCTCCACCCATTTCCTTCTGCCATGCTATTTCTGCCAGCTGAACATAGACTGAAACTGTGAACCAAAATAAGCCTCTCCTCCTTTAAGTAGTGGCTGTTGGGTATTGTGTCTCAAGGATGAAGAAAGTGATTAAAACAAGTACCAAGAATTAGCTATCAAATTTAGCAATGTGGGAGCCTGTGATGACTTTTGAAAATATCAGCTTTAGTGTAATAGTAAGTGCTGAAGCGTAATTGGAATGACCTCAAGGAGAATGGAAAGAGAAATGCTTGAGACTATTCTTTTGATGATGATTACTGTCAAGAGAAAGCAGAGCAATAAAGCAGCACTGGGCAGGCAAGTGGGGTCAGAGAGGTTGCCTTTGCCTTTGGAAGAAATGACGGCACATGTATATGCCAATGGGGAATTCTTTTAAAAAGAAAAAAGAATATAGCAAAGGTGGAAAAATGAATATCTGGAGTGATTTCTCAAGGACAGAAGAAGAGGGTAGCATGAAAGAAAGCAGAGTCTGTGGGCTTTACATTCAATAGGAGAACTGGGCATGTGGTGGTAATGGTGGAAGTATCTTGCTAAGGTTCTCTTCTATTGTTATTATATTTCCGGTAGAGATCAGAAGCAAGGTCATCAGTTGTTAGCGAAGATAAGAGGAGAAAGAGAAAATGTGGGAAGCAGAAGAGTGACTTGACCAAGGGTGTGCCTCATGCTGGCCAGTCTGCTCAAGACTTATGTTAGTACAGTGACGTGAGACCATCTCTGTGATTGTGGGTCTTTTCACCAGTCATGTTCAGGTAGGATTTTACAAGATAGGATTGCAAAGAACCTGGAGTTTTCTGTAAGGCAGCTCTTATTAAAAGAATGAGCCTTGCGCTTTCGCTGGGTAGAGAGGAAAATGAGGACCAGAGTAGTACTCCATTTTATTTAAAAAAACCCACATCTTTATCCAGTTTCCAGGTGATGGGCACTTGGGCTGTTTCCAAGCTTTAACTATTACAAACTGTGCCGCTATAAACATGAGTGCACATATATCACTGTGGTATGATTCTTTTAATTCTTTGGGGAAGATCCCCAGCAGGGGGATAGCTGGGTCAAATGGGACCTCTAGTCCTAGTTCTTTGAGGTATCTCCATACTGCACCCAATGATAAAAGTAAATGTATTGTATACCTAAAATGTACTAATAAAAGAATTTAAGAAAAAAACTGATGACCAGAGCCAGGACAGTGAGCCAATAGCTAAAATGAAGAAGCTGCAGGACAATAAAATGTGGCTAGGACCAATGAATTGTACTTCCTGGAGGGATCAAAGGATTGTTGGAGTAAGTTAAGTTGGAAGGATAGAAAGTAGTGGGTGAAAAACTAATGTTTGAAATTGAGGTTAGGGAGGGCTTCAGTTATTGGCAATGACAAAGTCTCAGCCATTTCCATTAAGAGCGAGTGTCTGAAGTTTAAGACAAGATCAGTGGTAGAGAGGATCAAGAAATCAAGAGCTGAAGATGCAGCAAAGGGTCATCTTCAAAGTCATTGAAATCACTGAAAAGTATCCAAAATTAGTATCAGAGAGAGTGACATTAGGACAGGGCCTTAAACTGTCAAAGAATGAAAGAGAGTGCCTAGGGGTAGATAAATGCAACACAAGGGTTCTGAGGATAAGAGATTCAAAGCTAGTAAGTGTGCCAGGGTTTTTCAAGACTTTGAAGGGCTATCAGGGTATCTTCCCAATGATATGATGTGGGAGGTAAAGGGGAATCTTTGTTCATTATAAGTCTAAGGTAATTTGGCATTTGCATAATATATGGCTCTGATCTTGTCACTATTTAGTTGCATTTGAAAGATATTGAAGATTCATTATTAGAGATTTACCCAAAGTTTTTTGAGAATGTAAGAATGGCTTTATAATAAATAATTATTCAGCATTCTTATTGAAAGAAACTATCCAGCTGTGTAAAGTTTTAAATATAAGAATTAAGAAAATGCAAAGTATAAAACATACTTAAAACTCATTCATCAATTATCTTCCAAGTTGGTTAACATGGTGGAAAAGTTTAGTCAATAAGTGCATAGAAAACTCAACCAAAAGCCTTTGAGACTCAGATACCCATGAAATGCCATATGTAAATGAGTCTCCAGAGGGCACACTGCAGTTTGCTTGTTGGCTTGTTGTGTTTGTTTGTTTGTTGGCTTTGTTTTGGTACCAGGGATCAAACTCGGGTCCTTGCATCTGCAAGGCAGGCAGCAGAACCACTGAGCTAAATACCGGCCCATTGTTGGCTTGTTTTCAAACTCAAGACTTGTGAGCTATAAGCATATTATTGAAGTTTGAAATAGACAAAGCAATTGAGTCCTGATTTGAGCTTCAAGTTTTTCTGAGAGCCTCAAGACTTGTGATAAGACTCTGTGTGAAAAATAGGAGAAAACAAGGCAGTTATGGGGCTGACTAGCTTCATTCAGAGCAGGTAACAGAGCTTGACAGCTTGATGAGTGCTCTTTGAGAACTTCTCGGAGCTGCCTCTGTAAGCCAGAGAAGGCAAAATATTCACAGGAAGGAACATTGTACCAGCCTCAGATAATTTTTCAGGCTCTGCAGACCCCAGCTGTCAAATCCAAGTGGAGCTAGATTTACCACTATAGACTTGGAATGTCAGCTCAGTCATGGCCCATGTTCTGCTGAGGCTTTAGAAATGATGTACTAAAACATCCAGGTATCAAAAGGCTACAAATGTCTTTTATTGAAATACTTTGAAGGTCAGAGTTAAAGCTAACAATTCTGACTTTTCTTCTTTAGAAAAAAAGTCTTTCAGAAGAAGTCTTCTAGAAAAGTCTCTAGAAGAAAAGTCTTCTAGAGAAGACGGGCTAGGACTTTCTTGCCCTGCCAAGCTTTCTTTTGATAAACAAAGACTATGTGGAAGTGTATGAAAGGTGGATAGACTTGAGGATGAACTGTTACTACATCTGAAGAAACACTGCTCTGCCAAGGGAAAAGAATGGGGGGCGTGGATTAAGTGACTGATCCCATCTGTGTTACTGTGGCTGACCTGATGTAGAAATACACTGCCCACTGCCAAGAGGACTTGAGGTCAAATAAATGAGTAGGAAAGGAAAGGGATAAATACACCAGAGTATGGCCCCAAGACATCCCCTTGAAGGGGATGTGTAGAGTGTGTCTTATAAAAAAGGAAGAGAAGGGGCCGGGGATTTAGCTCAGTGGTTTTACCACCTGCTGCACAAGCGCAAGGACCCAAGTTCAATCCCCGGTACCAAAAGAAAAAAAAAAAAAAGAAGAGAAGAATTCACTCACGAATTTATTCTTCAGTAAACATTTATGAAGCCAGGCTTTGTGCTGGTTTA